CTGGGTCCACCGAGTGAGGATTTTTGGCTGAAGGGAGTAGAGGAGCTGGGCATTTTTCAGCTGCCTGGCAGGAAATGGGCAGTGCAGGGTGTGCCAAGACAGGAAGCCTGACTGAGTGCCCCCTCCACCTCCTCCTCTCACTGTCAGAGAGTCACCTCCACCCTCTGAGAGTTAGCTACAGTCCTCCACCGCTGCATTCAGTGTGTCACAGGCCTCCTGTTTTCATCCCTCCCCGTATCCCTGCACTAGGCTGATTACAGGGACCAGAGCAGGAGCCTCTGCGTCCATCCTGGAACTACCATACCATGAGAGGACACGTTCGGAGAAGAAGCTCAGCCTTCTTTTTCCTTGTTTGATGATGGCGAGGTTTTTAGAGGATGAGGCTGGGTTGTTTTTCCTATAAGCCTTTAAACTCTGTGTCACGGCCATCATCACGGCCCAGCGTTTTTGGAATACTAGATTGTAATTTAAGAGAATGTGAACTTCTCAGGTTGCATGTACTTTTTATTATTACATTATCAAAAACGGCCTCCGATGAGAGTCTTGGGACGGGCATTTGACTCAACACCCCCCCCCCCCCAGGGAGGCGATACAAAGTGGAGGAAAATGGGACATTTTCAGTGTGTGGTGTTGAAAGGACTGTGCAGTTCATTTTGAGTGCTCTAAACTCTATCCTCTTCCTCCAGTGCTTAAATTCTAATCATAGCACTGTAACTTAGATTTATCGCTCCACTCCCAAACTTAATTGTCTGGGTCACACAAGGTTGCCTCCTCCTCCTCCTCCATGAAAATTTAAAGCTGTGAGGGCAAGTGTTTCTGAATTTGCTCATCCTCTTTAAATTATGTTTTCAGGAGGATATATTCTTTGGATTGGACATAACTGGCTGTTCATTAATGGTGACATGGATTGTGCCAGCGGGGTTAAAAAGAAAAGAAGTGTAGACTGACTGTTTTTTTTCCTCTGTGGAAGTGGTGATAAGATGACGTCTTCTCAAGACTAACTTGGGAAATCACACTTCCGTGAATGAATCGACTGCTATTGTGAAATGGCAAGGAGTCACTCAGAGGATGGGGGGATGAATCGGTGAGTGAGGACTGTCTCATTTAGCAGGCAGAGGACTCCTCATTCCCTCCCCAGTGCCGTGCACTGGCCCTTTGATGGGCACAGGCGGGCTACGCTCAGCATATCAATGCCGTGCTTCTCACCAAAGGCCTGGCCGGGGCTGGCCAGGCCAAACTTTAACATGCTTTCAGCACTGTATCAATAACACTCTGTTGGAGGGGAAAGCTGTGGGGGCGAGGATGCTTCTGTTGACGGCAAAAAGGTTTTCTGTTGATCGCAGCTGTTGATCGCATGCTGGAAAGAGGCCGTGCAGCTAGCCCTCCTGTGGATGCAGAGGCACAGGTTTATGCGCACAACTGCCCACTTCTCACCATCATAACCAGCTACAGCACTCTGGCTTGATTTCCCATCATTTGGACCTTGTCTGCTGGTGTGTGAAGCCACTGATTGACGGATGCCAGCGAGCCGCTCCTGCCAGGGCCAGGAGTCCCGGGCAGCTGGCTCACCCATTCAACCTAAACACTCGGCACAAAGTCTCACTGTGGGCTAATTGGGTCATCCTCACGTGGGAACCAGTAGCGCTGGCGTTTACTCAATCCTCTCTTGATTTGTTCTCATGCAAGTGACGGGGAGATTCAGATGAAATGCAGCGAAGAACAGAAAAAAAAAAGATCCAGATGATGGAATTGATCTTGAGATTATTAACGGTCTGAATGAACGGGCCTGGGTGCTCCAGCTTCACAGCAGAGACCTTTGAGCAAAAGATAACACTAAATAGGGTGCAGCACTGACTAACAACTATGACTGTTACAGGAAATGACACAACCCTCACTTCCCTCCGTGTTGGAGCCGGCAGACGTGGCCACAGTGTAAAAACAATGTTTTCAGTCAGTATATTTTGGTGCCATGGATAATGAGTTTTTTTGAGAAAATGTTCAAACTCCGGACTCCTCAGTGAGAATTTAGTGTAGATGAGAATACCATGGTAAATGTAGTCCTAAATACTAACGGCAGGACTACAACTCAGAAAGTTTAAACCTTAAATGTGTCCTTTGCTGGGGTGATTAATTGTTTTCAGGACAAAAATCTGCAGGTTGGAACAGGAGCAAAGTTTGTGCGGTTTGTTTCACAAACATCCATTAAGGATTACAGGACTAGAATAACTCTGCACGTCATCTTTGTCCTGTTCCTGCTGCTCCTCTTGTGTGAGCTAGTGTCTAATGGCCATGTCACGTGAGTTTGTTTCCCCTGTTTAAGTTCACAGAACGCGCAGCTTCTTAGAATACAGGCACTCTACTTTAAGCAAGCACCCTTTTTCTCTTGTGTGGTCTCAGTCAGAGGAAAGCAACCATAGATTTGACCGAGGCCTTCTTTGGGCTCACCGGTGCACATCCCACGCAGAGTGGCGCTCCGACTGATTACTGTGACCTTCAGGGCACGCCCCGCACAGCCCATCCTCAGCCGCCGCACATGGCGCTTTCATCTGTCGCCATCATGGTGTGAAATGAGTGACGGCTGAACAACGGGAGACTCCTGACTACCTCCCTGTCCTCACTCAACTTGATTGAATTTAGTTTTTTTGTTGTTTTTTCTACGCGCAAACAAAATCTGGTCTGCCTTGAGGCTGGAATGATGATGGTTTGTCATTCAGGTGGACATCTTTGCATGGAGGGTGAACGCTTGTTTGATTTTGTTTTGAGGGGAAAGCAGCAGCAGGTTTGCGTCTAATCTTAACTTGGCATTTTATATCAGGGTGTGTGTTTATGAAGGGATTATGAACGTAAAGGTATTTCCGAGGTCGAATTTTCAGATATTAGCTGCCCACATCTGGTTTTGGAACAGTGCAGATGCTGTTCTGGAGAGTTTTTACTAAATTTGGATTATTCCATTGGTGAGACCCTGTCAGCTAACAGGGCCTCCCATATTCTTCCAGCTTTCCCCGTTCATACTTCCCAGCCTTATTCCCGTTCCACCCCTTCTCCTGGCCCACTCCTCACAGTGGACTTCCAGTCCGAGCTGCTCGCATACTGGAAGAGGAGGAGCCGACTGGGGACATCTGTGGGAAGTGAGATTATAAAACGGGATGCTGTCCTCTGTTGACCCAAGCTGCCACACTAGCAGTTCATGACACCCCACAAAACGACGGTGAAAGGGCATGTGTTTGGCTGTACGTTCCGAACTCTGGCATTTCAGGCTCTGGTTGAAATGTTGGGCTTTTATCGTTTCATTTCCATCGCTTCTGTTATGTGAAACCTCAACCAGATGCTGCTTCACAATGAGGTGTATTTTTCTGTAGGAGGGGATCTGACACTTGGAACAACTTTGACCAATTTGTTTGTTCGTTTTTAGTTTCATGTCATCTTGTATTTTTTCCTGTCAGGCTGCCAGCATAACTTTGATGGTGGGGGGTAAAATAATTGAAATTCATAAAAAACTTCAGTTCAAAGAAAATAAGGCGATATCAGATCATAAATTCTTCTCCTTTGATGAATTCCACAGCTGGAAATAAGCTTTTATTGTCCTCAAACAATGGAATCACTACATGTCTAATCATACCAGCCTCAAAATCAGCTGTTTTTAGATAAATGTCTCAACAACCTTTGGATGTGTTGCCAATAAATGTGGTGTTGTTCATGGACTCCATCCAAAGAAGTCAGATGGTCTTTGCTAAGTGGTTTTTATGTATCTGGATCTGGTCATATCTGCTTAGAACTTTGGATTATAAGTCACTCAAAACTACCTGAACTGTCATTTATATTTATCCGTTTCTGCTGGTGTGCTGGTAAACTGAGCTAAAAGGTGCTTGTGTGAATAGTGTCTGAATTTTTAGAAGCAGTTGTCATCTGGTTAGCTGCTTTAAAATTGTTGTATCTAGAGCAGCTTCCACACCTGCCAAACGTTAAAAAATAAAAAGGGTTTATTCAGATTTAGCTAGAATTGAACGTTTCTTTTGTCATACGAGTTGGATGCTTTAATTTGAGCTAAAACTCGTTCAGTAGCGGCTAACATTCCAGAGGCCTAAATGCTTTATACACTTTTTTATGTACTTTTCACTATGCTCTACAGACACATTAAGGTTGACGATATGGCACCTGTGGGGTTTCAATGGAAAGATTTATGCCTGTGAAGCCATAAAGCTCTTCAAAAGCAGCGAGAAGCTGAGGCTTCTCGGTTTCTGACTGGAATACTAACTCTGTAAAAAATAGGTCAATCAGCCTTGTCGTTTCTTTTTTTTTTTTTTTAAAGAAAAAAGGAGGAAGAAAATGCTTTGCTGCTTCCTTTTCCCTATGTTCAAAAAGGAAAAAGCAACCATCTTGAGAGGTGGAAGCATTTCAAGTTTTATAATGAAATACGTGAATATAAAGCTGCACTCTTCTCCTCTTCCTTTCCTCCTCTTTGCAGGCTGTCAGCATCAATAAGGCCATCAACACACAGGAGGTCGCTGTCAAAGAGAAGCATGCCAGGAATATCCTTATATTGTCTTATGTGTGTGTGTGTAAGAAAGGGAGAGAGTAGAAGTTTGTTTCCATGTGTTTGCAGATCATGAGGGTTACTTGAGTGCAAAGCAACAAAGTTAGTGTAAACTCCTCCTGCTCCATGAGTGAGTTTCTCTGATTTCTGTTTTTATCAAACACACTCTGAAGAACAAAGCAGTCCTCTGAAACCCTGCAGAGGGATTAGAAAAATAGGGGACTCAAGAGTTTTTAAACCAGAAGGACGGGCTTTTAAATGGTTTCTGTTTGTTCTTAAGACAACGGTGTATTTCAAATACACTTCAGAAACGATCTCAACCTCGTCAGAAAAATGCTCAAACATCAGAGTTTGAGAAAGAGGGGTCGTTGAAAGTAGCCTTAAGACAGATTCTTACTACCCCAAGTAACACAAAGGAATACATGTTGAAATGTAGACATGAAGCTCTCTAAGCTGGGGTCCTTGACTGTCGCCATCACCGTGCATTCTGGGGACCCATCATGAGAAAGGCGCCCACACCTTCTGGGCGGTGGTCAACCGGCTTCCTCTCTCCAGCAACGCGGTGCTCTGCTGGAAGTTCTGCCACGTCTTCCATAAGCTGCTGCGAGACGGGCACCCAAACGTAAGTAGACGGGGCAGAGAAAGGGTCATTGGTGAGCACCTCGGGGTGCCGACAGCTGGCTCATAGCTCCTGCACCTTGTCTGGATTGGCTGATGGTTTCCTGATCGTCATATTAATGCTGTTTATCTGACCGCTGCCCCTCCAGGTGATAAAGGACTCCATGAGGAACAAGGCTGATCTGACAGATATGAGCAGGATGTGGGTAAGTGAGGACACAGAGATTATTCCAGTATATCGTACATCATGTCACCTTTTTTTATGTCTATGACTTTTATTCCTCTGTCCTGAAGACTAAACTATGTTGTATACATTAATGATAAGAAAGGGGGGAATAATAATTTAAAGTCATGAAATGAATTATTTTTTATTTTTTGAAGGAACTGGTAATGAGGAACATAACAGGATGTTATTTCTTAAAATGAATGTAGATAACATGAATCAGAACTCAACACAGCTGTTATGTCCATCTCTGCTCTTTAAACGCTTGCCTGACAAAACCCCTTGCTTGTCTACTAAAACACCAAAGTTGAGTTAGTCAAGCATGAACGCAACAAATATCAAATCAAATATGTATAAAATAAAGCAACTGGTTGATGCTGTGGTAAACCAGTTCACTATTCAGTGAAACTGTTTGTTTTCACAAAGAGAAGCACTGAAAATATTATTTTCTTTAGTTGTCTTAAGACGGGAGTGACAGACCATGTTGCTTGTAGCGGCGCGAGTCCACGAGAAACATTCCAAATATGAGTGTCAGCCCTGCCTTACTGTTTGGCCTAAGGCAGATTTCAAAGCAGCTCGTCTTTGTCGGGATTATTTGAGCTGCTAATCAATCCATCACAACTAAGGATTAACCATTAGAGAGTTGGACTTCCTCCAGATAAAAAGGTTTTATTGTTGATAATGTTTGTATTAATCTTGGAGTTTCCCTTTAAGGATTGGTGGAAATACTTCCGATGAAATTCAGTCTAATTTCAGACACAGAATCTGGGGTTAGGTACCTCTGCTGTGGGTAGAGTCCTCCACAGCCCTTGCACTTACTTAATCTTTACTGCTGTCACCAGGCAGGAAGTTTGGTCGCTGTGACCAGGGGTTTGCCCTCTTTTTCCTGTTGTGTCATTACTAAGCAGACTCCCAGGCTCAAAGAAAAAAAGGAAGTTGTAAGCATGAGCCAAAAAGCTACAGAGAGCAGGGACATTTTTTCAGAGGCCACAATGAACTATACATTCAGACTCAAACGCCATATTTTGCTTCAACTAAGGAGAGGTTGTCTTTTGGCTGTTAAAGTTTCCATCCCTTCATGACAACTTCACCAATAATTTTGTACATTTTCATAATATATTTCCTCATAATACTAGAACGCTTCCCATATTCTTTACCCTGTCTTCTGTGTTCTATTATGAAGGGAATAGATTGTGTCTTTGATAGTGTCTGTCGCTCTGTTTTTTACTTTTAGGGTCACCTGAGTGAAGGCTATGGGAAGCTGTGTAGCATCTACCTCAAACTGCTCATCACCAAAATGGAGTTTCACATCAAAGTGAGTTGGCCTGGCCTATAAAACCCAGCTTCAGTCTCCCTCATCACTCATTATCTTTGCGTCACACTCTCCTTTTAGTGCCAGCACGTCTCTGCGGGGGGCTTCATAGACACTAATGGCCTCTAAAGAATCTGTAGCTCGTCTACTTTTTATGAGACAGTTCAGCACAGCAAAGGAGAAGATGCATCCTCCTGTCGCAGGAGGATGCAGTTTCAAGTGAAGGCCGAAAGTTAATTCTTACCTAAGGCTGAGGGCAGTATGCCAAGACATGACTTAAAAAAAAAAAAAAAGTAATGTCGCTCTTGGCACAAAAACCTTTTGATCCCCTCTCTGTTGTCAGTTAAAGCTACACATAGCTTAATATTCACAGACATCATTATAGGTTTTATCTGAGAGCTGCACACGTTGCTCAAAATCACAATGCAGCCATTGGTCGGTGCACACCCTGGAAGAGCTGAAGATGTTCACACTGGAGCGGAAGTGTTCATCTGAATTTACTTCAATAGATTTCATCCAATTTGCACTTTCAATGCATCTTTTGACTGATTTTTTTCTAATTGGATAATTCATAACCCGATAAGCATTTTGTTAGCTTCAGATAATAATTTCCTTTTTCTGTTTCAGAATCCTCGTTTCCCTGGCAACCTCCAGATGTCAAACAGGCAGCTTGATGAGGCGGGAGAAAATGATGTTAATAACTTGTGAGTGTCTCCCTATTATGCTAAGCAGGACAAAAGTTTATCTGAGGGAAGTGATAAGGCATTTTCAATGGGGGTTTTTTTTGGTGGGGGGCGGGGCATAACTGAAGCTTAAAATCAGAGACTAAATAACAAGGCTATAAGAGTTTAGTGATTACATACTTTAGAGTCACAAATTACAAACTCTTTATTTGAGCTGTTAGGTTAGCATTTAGCTTTACTGTTGACTGTGGTACTATCAGTTCAGAAGCTTAGGAACTTCATTCACACTTTCTGGACTGTTCCTCTGTTCGGGTGTATGCATATTGTTAGAAACAGGGCGGTCCAATTGAATGGCACCATTGGGCTGTATGTGGACTGAGTGTCCCTTACAATCAGACACATGGAAGCAGTTCCTCATCCTCTGCTCTGGCCTTGGTGGAGGAAATGGTGATAAGTTGACTTGTACATGTGAGCGGTGTATCCCAGTCCGTTGTCTTTCTCCTTGCCCACAGACTCATAAATCCGTCTCCACTGAAAGCATGTTACATTGCAGCCTTTCTGTCCTCTGCAGCTTCCAGTTGACAGTGGAGATGTTCGACTACCTTGAGTGTGAGCTCAATCTCTTTCTGGGAGGTAAGTTATTCTGGTCTGCCTCTGCTACAAGCTGTGTTTATCTGTGCACCCACACAGACAGATTAGTGCCTTTTCCGATAGGAAGACGCAGTCTGACTGATAGGCGTGCCGTTTAGAATGGTGCACAGAAACGTGGGCTGCGGCTCACAGACTGATGGAATCAACCTTATCACCCGACTCACTGAGTTGAGCCATTGCCATCTAGTTGTCTGGCTGAGCCATGCGAGGTAAATGTTTCTTCAAGTGATGGCCAGAGTAAAAATAGACTGCTGGGATATGACCAGGAGCTCAGGAGAAATGCTGGAAAAGCTGCAAGCTCCCATTCATCAGGGATGGGGAGGAAATTACATTCTGGCTTCTATTCATCATGTTCATTCTGCATCCTAATGATATTACAACCCCCCCCCACACCTCCTCATGCTTCTCCCCCTTATTGAAAAAATGAAAATGTCCATTTAGTCACCCGTTAGTACCATTATTTTATTTTATTTATGGTTTGGATGTCTTCCCCTGTGACATAAACCAATTCCAAGTTTAAAAAAACAACCACATAAGCATTGCTGTTAGGCTCTTGACACCTAAGTCTCAAAGGTCTCTCCTTCTCTTTTCTGGTGGATTTTAAAAGCATGACTTCATCCCTGTGCAAAGAGGTGTGTGTGTGTGTGTGTGTGTGTGCGCGTGTGTGTGTTCTTTAGCATGCAGGAAACCACGCCTGCATGCCTCAGAAACTCTGTGTAACGATGTGAGAAAGACCAAAGGGAAATTAAAGAGAGGCTTAAAGATGGAGGCAGACAACCCTGTCAGTGTTCAGGTTGCTACTCCATCACTCCTCCGCTGTGTGTGGGTGTTGCTTTCAGGCACTTTGTTGGTTAATTGCACATTGGGTAGTAGAGATTCAAATAAAATGGGGAAGCGCAAATCATGAAAAATCCATCTGAGGGAGCCTTGCATGTGCTTGCCTTTATTAATATGCATTTCCAGTGATGAGCTCACAAAGGTTTATCTCCTTATCGATTGTTTGGTCTTCTGTCCCTTCAGTGTTTAGCTCTCTTGATATGTCTCGGTCGGTGTCGGTAACGGCAGCGGGTCAGTGCCGCCTGGCGCCCCTCATCCAGGTCATCCTGGACTGCAGCCACCTGTACGACTACACCGTCAAGCTGCTGTTTAAGCTGCACTCCTGTGAGTCCCACACCTCAGCCTGCACAGCCATAGCTTAGAATTTTAATCCAACTGCAAATATTTAGCTCTTCTTCTTTCTTCCCCCACTTATGTTATTTAGTGACAAGAAAAAACTGCCAGGGCTGATTTCTGTCATTATGATGCATGTGCCAAAAGAACTTATTCCAATACCTCACCTTTCTCTTATGCGAGAATGTCACAGTTTAGCAAAATTATAATAAACGCCCCAAAACTATTTTTTTTAAATAATAATAAATGTTGCAAATGTTGTAAATTGTGAGTTTTTCTTGTTAGGAGGATTGAATAAGCAATAAACCTGTCTCTTTTGTTTTTGCATTAAATGAAAGAAATTTTCACAGTTTTTAAGTGGGGCAGACATTTTTAAATGTCTGTGAGTTCAGTTCTAGTATTTATCTTTAAGAACCTGAATAAATATAGGAAAAAAAACAATAAACTGCCTGTCCAAGCATTAACTAAACTCCAATGAAAAGAAGGGAACATCCCCTAATTGCTTTAAATTTATTAGTTGCGACTCCACAATTTTGCTTTCTTTATATGTGAACACTGAAATTAGCTGTCAGACACAAAGTCCTGTTTGATAAATGCATACATGCAGCTCAGTTTTTAGTTATTGTTGTTTTTGTTTTTTTAAAGTTTCTGAGTTATGGAGGTTTCCACCTTTCATGTTTTTATCAACAAATCCTGTCTCGCACACTCGTGAAGTCGCCTGTGTGTTTATCCTGTAGCTATGTGTTTATTAGTAATTCCTGAACACTTTCGATATGCTTGTGCTCTGTGCGTGCTTGCAGGCCTTCCAGCCGACACTCTCCAGGGCCACAGAGATCGCTTCCAGGAGCAGTTTAAAAAGTATGAAGTTCCCTCGCAGTCACACACAGTTTCTCTGTTTGAATCAGAGGGCTGAATTCTGAGCCATGCTGATTTCAACCTTTTTGCTGTCTGCTTTTGTCACTCATATTTTCTGACTTTTGTTTCTTTTTTTTGTAATATATTCTTGGTTTCAGGTTAAAGAGCCTGTTCTATCGCTCCAGTAACTTGCAGTATTTCAAAAGGCTCATTCAGATCCCACAGTTGCCCGAGGTGAGGACCGCCTCCACTACATCACATATTTTCCCCATATAAATGTCACTTACAGAAGAAGTTGACCCCTCTGAGAAATCAAATTTCCCTGAATCTTTTGCATCTGTTGTAATATTCTGAGGTGTCAGAGTAAACCTCCTTCTGTAGAAGTTCTTGTTTACATCCTAATCTTGACACTTTTCAAGCAACTGACACTGTTTATCATTTCCTATTTAATTTGCACCTCCTGATTCGTGTAGAACCCTCCGAACTTCCTACGAGCGTCAGCTCTGTCGGAGCACGTCAGCCCTGTAGTCGTGATCCCAGCTGAGTCTTCGTCCCCTGAGTTGGAGCACGTGGTGGAAACGGACGACCTGGTGGACACCGACATCCCCGTGCTGCCGGTAGGATGGCTTGGCTCCGTCGATGGATTGCACTCTAGCATTCTATACTATAGAACCAAATCAGTAGACACTAGGTATTTGTACCTTTTTTAGGCCCCTCCGGAGACCAAGTTTGATGACCTGTTTGGGACGTCAGTTCCTGTTGATCCATTCAACTTTAACAGTCAGAACGGCATGCGCAAGGATGACAAGTGAGTTTCATTAGTGTTGTCTTGTACAATTTGTCCTGTGAAAATGCCATCATGATTTAAGGACGGTCCAGAACACGAACAAAGGAGCACTCAAACAGAACCTCCAGAGAGGTCAGCACTCCATCTTCTTGTCAGATGTTGCTGTTTTTGGATGACCTCATAATACATGCCTCTTATTCTGAGTTTGTACATCCCTGATTATACCATCCCATCTGAGCTGAGAGCGGACGAGGGGGACACAAACTTCCTGTTTGGCTGACTAACAGCAGACTGGAATTGTTTCAAACATATTGAATCCATTCTTCAAATTCTCAGGTTTAGTCTGAAAGTCCTCCGCTCTTGTTAAGATTTAGAGGAAAATTGATGGCTTTTCAATCAGATTGAATTCTGTCAAACTTTATTTCAGTGGGTGCGTTTGAATTTCAAACCAGACACGCTACTAATAAACATTCCCTCAGAGAGACTGATTGTCTTGTGTAAGCCAAGCATGGTTGCATGGATCAGACAAAAGGAAGCACAGCTTTTTAGCTTAGCTCTCAAAAGATCCAAAATAACCTTTCCTCAGAAATGAGTCTTGAGTCCATTTAGTTAGGTTTCGATAGATTGGATGTTTCCAGTTGTGCAGCCTCTGCACCAATTTAAATGTTTTTTAAAACAGATACATATAAAAAAAAAAGTAAATCTTTCAGCAAATAAGCCAATTCATGCCATAACACACTTCTGGATGGCAACCGTTTTGTCGAGCCAGGGTTATTTAAAAAGTATATACTTGAGGCTTCTAAACATATCATACATATCATACTCCTTACCACTCCTGGTAAGGAGTGTTTAGACCAGATGCTGGACTTCTCTTAAGACCATGTTCTCATAACGGTCGTTGTACATAAAACTCCGTATGTGCAGCTTTGCTTGATACAAGGAACACAGTTTCATTACGTCTTTTGAGAAGGTAATGAGACAGTTTTCTCTGGCTGCAGATGTGAGCCTATGAAAGTAGAAAAGCCACTTTTGTTGCCATGACGGCTCTAAATTAAATATTTACCTGCGTGAATTTGGTCTCAGATGACTAAACTATACAGAGTCTTATATCAAGCACACGTTGGTCCCCAGCTCTGAAACACGGCAGATCAACATGGAACAGTAGTTCATTCAGGGCAGATGGGCAGCAGGTATGACAGTGAAGTGTGTATCTTTGTCAGAGACCGTCTGATCGAACAGCTGACGAGGGAGATCCAGGCTCTAAAGGAGGAGCTAGAGTCTTTCAGACTGGAGGTAAAAATCTGGATAGCAATTGTTTATTTTTACAGAAGTTTGTCTTTAAACCATCAGCAAGACCAGCTTCCCTGCGTCTCGTTGTGTCTACTCTCAAATCTCTCGTCCATGGCCAGAGTGGTCGCCTGTGCCAGGCGCTGAGGGGGCGTGTCAGTGAGCTGGAGGCGGAGCTGGCAGAGCAGAGCCACCTGAGGCTGCAGGCTGTGGGAGAGAGCGAGTTCCTGAAGGCCGAGATGGACGACCTGCGGAGGGTCAGGGAGGACACGGAGAAGGAGCAGCGGTGCCTGACGGAGATCGAGAGTAAATCAGAGTTCAGAAAAAAACGTGGCTGTCGAGTTGCAGCCGTAGTATGCTTCTGAAACGTTGTCTAATTAGAAGGGACGAATATCTTGATTATAGGTGAAATTCTCCGACGGCTATCAGAGAAAAAAGCGGAAACAGTCATTTGGAGTCAGAGAAAGGAGGAATCTAAAAATGACCTGACTACGCTGCTCCCTATGATGTTTCTTTACCTGCTGGGTTTGATCCTTTCTATCCTCTACATATTTACCAGAAAAGGCTCAGGCCAATGAGCAGCGCTACACCAAACTGAAGGAGAAGTACACGGAGCTGGTTCAGAGTCATGCAGACCTGTTGAGGAAGGTGAGAACAACAACTGTGCGTTCATTTTCATGTTCAGGACATTGTTCCGTCCTCGTCTGTAAAGCCTCAGTCGGGTCACGTGCTGTCCTCCTGGTTGTAATTCCCTCGAGTTCCTTCAGAATCAGTCTTTGTCCCATGCCCTCCTGTTTGTGTGTGTGCAGAACGCAGAGGTGACCCGGCAGATGACCGTAGCTCAGGCAGCACAAGATGAAGTGGATACTGTGAGAAAAGAGATGCAAGAAAAGGTGAAAGCTGCGCAGGACACTGCAGACAAACAGGTTAGGATGACACGAATGTCCGTCGCCAAACGTCTTTCATTGCTTTTGAGTCAAATGACAGGCTGCAGGTCTGTGAAAAGTAATCGGGCAAAAATTGTATTTTTATGGCCCCACAAGTGCTTCCAAACCTCAACAAACAATTTTTGCAAAGCTGGGCGTTATTGTTCAAGAGCTGAATAAAGTGAGATTGATTACTTCTGTTGTTCAGGAAAGGGAACAGATGGAGCACCTTCAGGAGCTCCAGAGAGAGCTCGTATCCACTCGGGCAGAGCTGGACTCCCTGAAGACCACCGTGGCCTCTTCACAGCAGGTCAGTCCTGTCACTCCGATTCTGCTAGCATTTAGTCTTTAGGCATTTTTTTTGGCTTGTAAAATATTACAGTTCAAAGTAGAGAAAATGGACTGCGGGAGTTTCTAGTCATTACTAAATGAGATGATTTATTTCCTTTTCTGATGTATCAGTCGGGCGAGAAGTTCAGCCAGTAGGTCTTTTATCAGCCTTGACAGAAGGAACACATTAATAACGACAGAATAGCGAGCGTCTCCAACATCGGACAGATTTTCACCCAGCTGTTGGCAGTTTTTAGAAACGGAAGAAATACTAAATCCAGGCCGCAAGCGGGCCCTATAAATCCCCTTTCATCCTGATACCGGCACTTTTTGTTAACATGTTCGGCCGCCTGTTAATCACTGACTCTGTGACAATTACAAAAGATCAGAGTTTATCATCACACGGATTTGTTTTATGTGGATGCGTTACTGTGTTAAATTGGTTTATGCATTATGTTTCCCCGCATGAATCACGTCTTGGTTTGTTTTTTTGTTTTGTTTTTCATTGCTACACCACTGAGCCAAGTAGAATCTGAGGACACCAAGTTTTGTGGCCTCAGTTTTGATGTTTGTTGCAGGCACTAGAATATATATATAAACCCTCACTGTCCGTGACGTCTCCTCTGTCATTTACAGATGTTTTGGCGTACCTCTCACATCTTTCTCTCTCATTTTCTGATGTCCTAGTTAGGAGGCCACCATTATATCATATGCCTTCACTGCCCAGTTGTTGTTAAAGAAAGACTTTCCTCAACAATTCTTTTTCCTTTCTGCCCTTCAATCGGACATGCTGGCTCTCAGACTGTAAGTTTTTCAGCTGTTTTATGTCCACACCTCATGGTCTAAACGCAGACAAATTCCCATCCAAACAGAAAGGTTCAGTGCGAATGATCTGTTGAGACTTCACTCTGTTGTCACAATTCATGATCACTAGATTGCACAACCACAACTTCCCAGTTTACTCTTTACTGAAAATAACCCTAACCCAAACCTCAGTGGAGACACCATGGCTCTCCTCAAACTTTAACTGAGACAATATTGTTCAAACTGTTGCCTAAAAATAATCTGTCCTTTTACTGTGAGGTCAGAGCAGTCGCGTCTCACCAAATCCTGACATGACCCGACAGCTCTGTGTTACCTAACCACCTCCACCACAAAATCCTTCGCCTCACACCAACTTTGCTGTTTTTGTCTTTTTTGTCTCGCCATCCTTTATCCCTCAATGTAGTCGGGCGAGGTGCTTAGCTCTCAGCTGGCTGCTCTGGAGTCTGAAAAGGCCAAGCTGGTGCAGGACTTGTCAAAGGTGGAGGCCGAGCTGGTGGTCCGGGGGGAGGAGCTACAGCAAGCCCAAAGCTCGCTGGTAACCGAGAGGGAGAGCGGGGTGAAATCGGCGGAGGCCCTGCAGAATCAGCTCAATGAGAAGGTGAAATCGCTCACACACTTGTCATTGGCTTTAGGAGACCAAACAGATGTTGTAGTGTGAGAGAATCGCCGAGAGAATCCATCTGACAGGTGTGCGTTTGCGCCCGCAGGAGAGCAGGGAGCAGGCTCTGGAGAGCCAGCTGCTGGCAGCCCGCTGGGCCAGTCTGCAGGGCGCTGTGGAGGAGGCAGAGAAGATCGTCCAGGACTCCCTGGTTCGGATAGATGATCCGGCCCACATCAGCTGCACCAGCTCCGCAGGTCAGACACTGATTTTGAAACGGCACAGCAACGGGACAGCTGTCAGCGCTGTGTGGGCACGACCTTCATACATCCCTCCATCTCTGCAGACTATCTTGCATCTAGATGCCAAGCCTCTTTAGACTGTTTGGACCGAGTACATTGTGCCAGAGAAACCTTCCTGTCTGACAACACAGGTGAGACACCAAAGCACTGTGCCGTATATCAAATAAATATGATAGAATAATAAAAAACAGGTTTATTTTTTACTCATTTCATTTGATGCAGGCGTTTCTGAGCTAGTGCGAGTGGTGATTCAATGTGGCCACCTCGTGGGCGACACCATTGTTCAGGGTAGTGCCACCTCCCACATGGTGCCCGTGGAGCAAGCTGATGGTGAGTGTGTCTGTGTGATGCGTGTCCAGTCATGTCTGTTAGCTGCCCTCCTGATCTGTGACATGTTCTCAGACAGCTCAGGGAAAGCAAGATAGAGAAACGACAACAGATCAGATCATCTACTGTAGACTAATCAGTTAGCCCTTTTTTATGTCTGTAATGGATTAAAATCACATTCACAACTGGATTTGGCCTAGTCAACACAACTACAGACAATGAAAGGCACACAAAGAAATCTGCTCCTTGGACAACTTCCAAATGTCAGTAATATGGTATAAAATTACCTTGTGAATTTAAGATACAATCAGTGTCATGTTCATGTTTGGTCAGGGATGGTTGGTCACAAAGCTTGAGAGCGTCATTTTAAAAAAAGCATAATCGGATCCATCAGATCCTGTGTCTCCATCTTACTAATTCTGTTTGGGATTTAGGCTTGGAAAGTGTGAAACGAACATTGTTTTCCACATTTGTAAAGATTTTCTAATAGATAATTTTTTAAGATGCCGTCGGGAGAAGAATTGCAGCTAATACAGTGCAACAGTTTCAGTTCTTTAGCCTTCAGGCTGGACTATCCAAGGGGCTTGTAATAAACACTGAGAATTTAAACTTTGTGAAGAACTGCTCCTGAGACGGTACATGACATGTTAAAGCATTTCAAAGACACCCACATGCAGCTGAAACTTCCCCAGACCCCCAAACACAGATATAAGCTTTCATTTTGATTAAAAACGACAAAGGAACCAGCAGACCAAACATAAAGGTATAATATTACAACAGTGCGTTGGTATTGAGAAATTCCCAGGGCAGGTGTGACTGGAGTTGGGGAGGGATACTGAGGACAAGCTGAGGTTAAATAAGTCTCTACTGAAGCAAAAATCTGTGCAATCCCAGCTGAGGGATTCTATCTGCTGCTTGGTAAATATGCCTGCGGGTAAACAGCTGTTGGCTTTTATTCGCTGTAATTCTTCATGTCATTCAACACTTGGTAAAGAACACGTAATCAGTTAATTCTACCAGACTAGAGTTTCCCTCTTAATTATTTTCGAAGGGATCTTTTGAAAGCTTTAGGATAAGTTGCGGCTTATATTGGCAATGCTGTTAAAAACTGCTCTGTATCAAAATGTTATCCATTTTTTCTGCTTGTAACATTTACATTTCCCCACTGTGGGACCAACTGAATTTTATATTCTATACTGGAAAACAGACAGTAAAACAAATATTTAATATGAGGATTTTTTTCCCAATTTCAAAATTATGAGCTCATTTGAAGTTTCACAGTGCCAACACATCTGAAAAAGGATGATCAACTAAAAAGAGGGACGTGCTGCCACTATATTGATTAATATGCAACCGGTCAATAATATTATTTGGCATAAAAACAGAGCAACTTGGAGAAGTAGAGACTCTTAGAGAAATTCTGAAGAGGTGTGGAGTTGGAGCTGTTTTTATTTCATATATTAGCTCTGTTAAGTACCTGCATTACTCATAGTACTGTAAAGACTTTTTCCACAAGTTTTTATGTTAAAAAATATATTTTTTATAAAGAGTCCCTATGAAGGATTAGAAATGCATAATATTGTCTGGATGCTTGCATAATTCACCACATACATGAGCATTTCATCTTTGCACAAGTCTGCTAAAATACCTTCAATTAGTTTGTACCGGTACTCATAATCCAACCCTGTAACCTGAAATAGCCCTCAGCTGTGTTTTCTGTTGGGAAAATCAGCCAAAACATGCACAAAGAGAACAAAGTGGCTGACCTCATACACAAGTAATGTTTTTTTTTTTTGTTCCTCTCAGAGTTGACAAGTCTAAACATGCCCATATTTAATAGAGCTGTGGCCGGCTGCCATGTTATCGCCACAGAAAAACAAACAGGCGGAGTTTAAAGGGGTTTGGACTGCAGCTGGGAGCCTGAGGATCAATGGACGACTTTTTTTTCCTGTACATATCTGCCATTTTTGGAAAGCCATTTTATATTTGAATCGTTTTCTGGTCATCGTTATCTTTATGACCCAAGTGACTCGTGCTCGTGGCTCTGTTACACGTCAAAGTGCACAGGAGATTACTGTGGTGTTCTCATAGAAACTATAACTTTTAACCCCGCAGATCTCCTCTGTACAACATCCTCTGTGGATGAACGATGTTGCTTCTCTCTTGGTGCATCAGTGTGTTTTATTTGTTTTTATTTGTAGTAATTTGGTCTTTAGATGCTCATAGATCCTCCGTTTTGTCTGTCTTTCAGCCCTGTCGGAGAGCGTGAAGACGTGTGGAGCAGAAGCTCTGGCTCTGCTGGGCCAGATGAAGCAGCAGGACAAGCTGACGGCAGCAGACAACAACAAGCTGAAGGCGGCGCTGCAGGCCATCCTGGCCACCGCAGAGGTCCATACTTCATACATACTCTGAGAAATAATTACCGCATTGGTTGTTGCCTGAAGACCCTCCTGAACCTCTGCTTTGATATTTAATATTACTGATGTGGTTCTTTCTGTCCTGTTACCTTCACAATGAGGTCATGCCACTCTTTTATTGTTTCAGAAACTGCGCCCCCGGGGTTTGGAGCTACAGCAGGGGGAGCTGGGAGATCTCGTGGAGCAGGAAATGGCTGCCACATCCGCTGCTGTGGAGTCTGCAGCTGCCAGGATAGAAGTGTGTAACTGTGTGTGTGTGTGTGTGCGTGTGTGTAGCTCTGGCCTTCACAGAGCAGCAGAAGTATATTAAGGTGAACTTTCTGTGTGAACACATTGCCCCTTGTTTCGCATTCTGAGAGGCCTTAACTTCAAAATGTCCCCCCACCCCACCTCTTCCCTCTCTCCCGTTTGTCTCAACAGGAAATGCTGAACAAGTCTCGAGCAGTTGATACAGGAATCAAGATGGAGGTCAACGAGAGGTAAGGCTCAGATTAGACTCGGTTTGTGGAACCAGAGACAGCCATGTTTTTTTCTGTGTAACATCATGAGTTTGTTCTGAGTCAGATTATATAGATGTCTGTGGAAATTTCCTCCACTTTTCACTAGTTTGGTATTATTATTGCTATTTTGAGGTCAGAATGGAAGTGTTGTGTCTCTGGAGTTACATCGACTTTTGAGCAAGGCCACTGTGTGGTTGACAAGTTTTGATTTCGTAAGTGTACTTTCATTCCTCGCTCATCTCATTCAGGATAAGAAAGTGAAGATGCAAGGCTTTAATACGTTAATTGATCAATTTCAATGGCACCTGCCCAGAGGGCTGTCTGATTTTGCTTCTTGTTTAAGTATTAAATCTGTAAAAGCAGTTTAGTAGACTAAAAAATATGGACAAAAGCAATCTATTTGGGCAAATCCATTAATGCCGAGCCATGTTCTGGAAAGCCCAATACTTAAGGACCTTTGCATGTGACTGTGCTTATAGAGAGGGCAGTATCACTTGAATTAGGTCGACCGGACAAGTTCACCCTCATTACCCTGTGCACAACGTCAGATTTTCCCAAAATAGAAATCCAGTCAGCCCACAAACATGCGAAAACTCTGCTGAGAGGAAAGAGGAGAGTTACTTAATCAATAACCTTAAAATCTAAGGAACCAATGAAGACATATGACGCATGAAGCCAAGACGCTGCCTGTAAACGTAAGGTAAAAGTCGTCGTTAAAGCAGCGATCCAATATTTGACTTTAGACTTGGAAGAGCACAACCATCTCATCAGCTCAGCCTCAGAGCTTGCGGTGAAGCCGGTGTGTCATCTAATGCTTCTCCAACTCTGTCATAACAAGCCTGAAATGAGTTTCATCAGAGCTCTATGAGAGCCCGCTCCTTCCAGTCTTTACCCCCCAGTGACCTCAGAATTCACATGAAAGCAACTTTTTTTTGCCTGAGATAGGTACAAAAAACCTCCAGCAGCTTTAGAAAGTGGACAGAGAACTGAGGACAGTGTGCATCTTTTCAGTGGGAACACAGAGCTGTGGCTCCCCAGCTTTGGATATCGTCCGTAAGAACGTATGTATGGGATGTGATTGGATATTTCAGCTGCTCAGCACACAGGTGTCAGAGACTCAGAATACCCATGTTGGGGCTCTGGCTTGTTTCAAGTCCAGACTGCAGTGTTACATCAGCTTTGAATCTCCTGTGTTTTGTCGCCCTCTGCAGGATCTTGGCCTCGTGCACCGAGCTGATGCAGGCGATCAAGGAGCTGGTTCTTTCTTCCAAACACCTGCAAAGAGACATCGTGGAGAGCGGGAGGGTGAGCCTCAGGGTCTCAAAAAGAGAGAGCAGTGCGATTCCACTGATTCCATTTATCACAGTATCTGATTATGTCACACACAGACACACTTAGTTTGATCTGCAAAAGACTACAAATGTGTGTCTCATTCAGTCTAGTAATGGGTGCGTGACGCTTGGGACTGTCATTCATTTTGGTCATTTGTCCACCAGGGGGCAGCCTCCATGAAGGAATTTTATGCCAAGAACTCCCGCTGGACCGAAGGCCTGATCTCTGCCTCGAAAGCAGTTGGATGGGGCGCCACGGTCATGGTGTAAGTATCGCAGAGCTCCTGTTGATCACAGCTGGAATGTGTGGTGCATACTTTTTGAATACTGGACGTGTCCAGGAAGATGAGGCAACGTGAAGAAGTCCTGAAACTCGACATGAAACCCGTCGGCATGCAGAGTTGTTTAGAGGCATTCAAAAACCTTTTAGCGCGAGGTCGGCTAAGCGGTCTGGCACTCAAAGTAGAGTCCTTTGCGTTTTGTTGTTCCAGTGATGCTGCAGACCTGGTGGTGCAGGGCAAAGGGAAGTTCGAGGAACTGATGGTGTGCTCCCACGAAATAGCCGCCAGCACAGCACAGCTGGTGGCTGCATCAAAGGTTAGCATGGATTCCCCCCTTTCTTTATTCCGTGGGAGACCCCTTTGTTTTTTACATTGAGGGAATGGGTCTTTTGCTGGACCGCTACTGTTGGAAAACTCTGGGTACTGCTCTCCCGCAGGTAAAGGCAGACAAAGACAGTGCCAACCTGAGCCGTCTGCAGCAGGCCTCGCGGGGCGTCACGCAGGCCACCGCCGCCGTCGTGGCCTCCACCAAGTCTGGAAAATCCCAGATTGAAGAGACAGGTGAGCACATCCCCCGCCCAACTCAGAGCTGCTCGCTTTCATATCTTGTAAGTGTATTCATAATTTGGATTTCTTAACAGATGTCACACAGCTCTGCCTCTTCCTCTCTCCGTTTCTAGAAACTATGGACTTTTCCAGCATGACTCTTACCCAGATCAAACGACAAGAGATGGACGCACAGGTCAGTGGGTGATAACAAGGGTTTTCAACATGATGAGCCAAACACACTCAAAGGATTTTTCATGATTCCGCTCATAGTTTGGCTCAAAATGGTATCCCACATAAAAACAAGTGTTTTAGTAATGAAAGGGTTTGTTTGTTCTGGTACTGTAAACTTGCACTAAAGGTAACGTTTTTTTTTTGTTTTTGTTTTTTTTTACTCTGAGAGCTGAATTTTACTGTCATATTTGAGGCTGCGCTTCACTAACACTGTAAGAAAAACCCCACACAGATGCTGCATTGTTGTCAAAGCACAGCAGGCTCCTGTTTTGAGGAAAACAGATGTATTTTTAGTCCCGATCAAACCTATGAGGAAAACTACTTTAACTGGGTTACAGGAAGTTTCTATGGAGATGCAAATGAAACGAAAACAAGTATCTGTGAGGATGTCCTGGAAGAGATTAGAGTAAATAGCGAAGAGGATCCTGGATAATTCTCTACACTGTATACCGCCTGGAATGAACACTGCTCTGTTCCCTAAATAGTTTGGTTGTCTGTTTTTCTTCAGGTGCTGGTTCTGGAGCTGGAAACCCGTCTGCAGAAGGAGCGAGAACGTCTTGGCGAGCTCAGGAAGAAGCATTACGAGCTGGCTGGTGTGGCGGAGGGCTGGGGCGAGCAGGGGGAGGGTAAGCACCGACGGCAACAATAGGAATAACCCCCCCAGAAAAGACCCAGACCTCAGAATGTTCCAGCCAAAGGCGGCTGAAATCTCTCTTCTCCTTTTCAGGCACGGGGTGAGACCGGCCGCTCCTGTCAGCCACCTTCTCCGTCACCAGACCGGCTTCTGTCTGCCTCTTTCTATTTATAGAAACACCTTTCTGTCTCCTTTTTTTACCTGGTTTTGTTTCATCGTTTGTTCGTTCGTTCGTTCGTTTTTTATCTAAGCCAAATGAGAAGGTGCTTCTTTCCCAAACCTGCTTCACCACTCGTGTCCTCACGCTTTCCACATGAAGCTCCAACAGGGGCGCATCGGGGGGGGCGGGGCACAGCCTCACATCTGCCCTGCTTCTCCTCCAGAGCTGCGCCGGTGAGGAGCCCCAGTGAGCTGTGTCCCAGGATTTGTCCCGTTTAGTTTGTCTCTTGTTTTTCCTCTCGCGGTTCTTGACGACGCCACCCTCACCGAGGAGCCCCCGCGAACACGCTGCAGGCACAGAGTTCTCAGGACATCAGAAAGACTCAGCGCACAGGGGCCAAACTGTGAGCAGCCCGTGTGGGGGCCGTGTGGGGTGGTGGGTCAGAGACCACAGCTGCCGGCCGTCACACCTCTGCGCAGCTCTCCTGTTTTCCTGTTCTGGCAGTTTGAGCCCCCCCCCCCCCCCCCCCCGCAACAATTCTTTCCTCACTGTGAGCTATCACCTTATCAGGTCCACAGGGCTCGTACCGGCTGGTTCTCTGGACTTGCTGCCTTTCATGTCCTCACCATTTTAACGACCATGACTGTTAACTTAAGCAACCTTCCCCTCACGAGTTCCTTTTTTGTCTTTTTATTTTATTTTTTTTACCCCTCTTTTACCTTTTTTACCTCACACGGAAACTCTTAAAACGTCTCCTCAAATCGTTTCCATTAAGTTTTTTTTAAGCCGCGGGGTACTTCGTGGCACACAGACGGAGGTAGCGGTTCATCATGAGGACGTTTGGAAACACTAATATTGTGCTTCATTTTTATGATTTCTTCTTTGTGGCATATAAGTTATGGAGCAGGGCAACCCTCTGTTTTTCAATTGGAGATGAGTTTCAATTCGTTCCGACGCCTTACTGTTCAGTGATAGTAATAGTTGTTAAGACAAGCTGAAGGTGCATTTGTCGGAAGCTGGGATGAGGTCACATGGTCAAATGCCAGTGGCCTGGTATCGGTTCCTTTTAGGGGTATTTCAGGTGAGGGGATTGTCTGCACAATAAGCAAATGAATACCTGTTCAAGTTTTTTAATCAAACTAATCTGAGAATCGAAGGCTCTTCCACTGCACAAACCTCTTAAGGACAAGAACAGGATTTGCCGAGTTCATCAGCTGAAAACAGTCAATGCCAGTGGCCTCACACTGCATTGGTTCCATTACTGTCCCCTAAGACCAAGTCGCTGTGTAAATAAACTAAAGGCCTTCTACGGTTTCTTTCCTTTCACCCTACAGCATCTGTTTGTACATCTTTTCCAGTGTAGATCTACTTTGATGCAGCAACGCTTACAAAATGGTGCACATAGAACTCTCCTGCTGAGGCTGGCAAAATGGTTCTAAGTTTGCTTCAAACGGACGTGAGCAGGCTTTTTTTTTTCTCTCTGAAGCCAACGCCTCTTACCATTTTCCTGTTGGACGATTCTGTGTCTTAACGTGCTTAGTTCCAATACTCTGCTTTAGTCGTGTATCTCTTCAAAACAGAAAAAGGACAAAAAAAAGTTTGTGCTGGGTATTTAACACATGCTGCTTGGTTAGTTTTGCCAATATTTCGATATTTCTCCCATAAAGGAGAAAAGCGAGGTTTAAACCACCTGGAGAAAAGCTGTAAATTGGACGAAAAACAACCTTGAAATGTCTGTTCTCACCAGCTTTATGCTACTTCGACTGAGTTTTTGGAAAGTATCATTTGCCGTACTGTTTCCTACAGGTCTTTGTATTTGATAATAATTCTAGCCTTTCTGCCTGTCCCTGCTCCTCTGGATATACGGTTGATTTCATTAGAAATTGTAATATAAACAAAACATACCATAAAGAAGTAAACGTCTACTTTTGGTAGTATTTCAAGTGTCTTGAAAGATGGATTTTAATGCACCTTGAGTGATGTTTGGTTTTTATCTCTGCTCAGATACTCTTTATTAACCCGTCTCTGTCTGTGTGTTGGGTTCGTGTCTGTAGTTTCCACCAGCTCAGCCAGCCTTTCAAACTGCCTCACACTGTAGAAACCAATACTCACATAGCAACATTGAAACATGTATTTGTATATTATACTAAAACTATGTTGGTGGGTTTGTTTTTATTTTTCCAGTTTTTGAAATAAATATTTGGACTCATTAATACAGACGTATGGTGCTACTGTGGTTTGTAAGGACTTTTTCTGGCCTGTGGACGAAGCTGTGACGTCCTGCAGTCACCATGATTAAAGAGGATATTATGTCCAGATCAATGAGCTGAGGGGAGTTATGTCCCCAGCACCCGGGCGGCAGGGGATTATTCTTGGTAAATGCTGACATTACATAATAATCTAATTGATTACCTGGAGTTTTGGGAAATGGATTGCTATATTTGAAGGGGATGAGATAGAATTATGTCATAAATTAATACGGTGGCTTACGCACACTGCGCATGTCAGAGAGAAGGGGGGGGGGCAAAGGTGGGATGCTTATTTACCAAAATCAATGTTGCAGGATCTGTTTTTACTGTGACTGAGTTGTCTTTGATTGGAACTTTTTTTCCAGGAAGAATTAAATATGACGAGGAAAAACAACATGGTAATGCAAAAACACCAAAACATGGTGTACATTTCTGTAGCAAAAGAATATATAAACTATCGAAAAGTGAATTACGTACGTTCTAAGTGTCCTTGCTGAGGGTCCTCTTTTTTGTAGAAATTGGGAAATCTTTTGTTTTCTCCTTTATTTTTCTTACCCCTCTTTAGGTAGAAAACAGGTATTTATTTTTGCCCTCCTGTCTATTTTTTGTCTCAGGGACACCGTAGTACTGAAACACTTGTTCACAGGAAGAAGAGGAGCTCTGGCAGTGAGTCGAGCTGGAACCCTTCACTGCGACCGGACCGATGAGCCCGAACCAAACCCAGAAGACCCCCCCTCACTGCTCAGCGTCACAGGTTCAGGTCGAGTCGCCCATCTCTAAATCCCGACATACACAACCTCACAACCTTTCCTACACAAAATGAGGTAGAATACAGGAATCATAAAAGTTAAAAAAAAATATTTGTTGTAATCTAAAACCATTAGACATTCTGATCTGAGCCACATTTATGGCATCCTTTGAGAGGTGTTGCATTCCATTATAACTGCAAACAATATACATAGGAGTAATAAAAATAGAAGCCTTATTGCTCAAAAACTAATACAACTTTGTATTTGACCTAAATCCAGATCAGGAGAAGAATCACAGTCTTAAATAGATATGTGGGGGCTCTAAGGTTGGAAACGCTGGACTTTCAATACTTGTCAATAGTTTACTTAAGAAAAAAAAGAAAATGAGATTGCTTTCATTCATATGATTCTATGACTCAGCTTTTATAAAAGACAACCAGATGAAATGTGGATTTGTGGAATATAATTATAACAATTTGAAATCAATCCAATAATCATAGAGGTATTCAGCTCTCCAAAAAATGGACGAAAGAATGCATCATACATGAGCCGCTGGTGGTACTTTAGCTACTGCAATATCTGGTGTCATCATAACAAGATAAAACGGGTCAAAAGTGCCTCCAATGGGAAGAAAATCCTGACCAAGAGGTTCATTTTAAACTACTGTGAGTTAACCCAGTATTGATCAGCAAAGCTTATTCAGTTAAAGAGTAGATGGATGGATTAATGCAAAAAAAAAAAAACCTATCACGATCATTTAAGCTTGTAAACTACTTGTAGGCCGGTGAGTGGTTAATGACTGACATACATAGTCTGCTGACTTGATAAAAAAAACAAAAGAATTGTTTTTAATGGAAAGATTTTACAAGTGCTTTCAGTAAATCCCACAGCTATCTTTAGTTACATTTCTGAGAGACGTGTTTCTGGCTTCACACTTGCGTTGTCCCAAATATGCTGTGACACAAGAATATTCTGAACAGAAGTTTTCCATAAGATTGATGCTCTTAGGCGTACTTTCAAAAGCGAGTTTGGAATATCAATGGTTCCTCACAGCTGGGACAACAGCTGCTGATCCGCAGGACCTAAAATGATTGTTTAAGCACGTAAACTCTGTAGTTTGAAAATGTGCTGCTCTTTTTTTTGTTTCATCCTCTGACAAAGGGCCGTCCATCTGCCCCCTGCCTTTATTCCCACAGTCAGTCGGTCTGGCTGAGGCCGGCAGGAGTGAGCAGGTTCCCCTGGCTGCTGTTGTCACATGGGTCGTGTGGTGGGAAAGACACAGAGAGCTATTTATAGCCTCTGCAGTCCGGAGCTGGGCAGCCTTACAGCAGGTCTCCTGGCAGCAGCAGAATCTGCGTCTGGGCGGCAGCGGAGCAGCCTCGCATATATGCGGAGGCTTTAAATCAGCAGCTCTGCCCACGGGCCGGCCACCTGAGCCAGTCTGAGAGCAGGGACTGACCGCATGCTACTGAAGCCTGGAGATAAAGGTGGACTGGGTGGAGGCCACATGAAACCCGGACACACGTCATCCACCTCTGTCACTTCAGCTTCTATTAGTTCTGCCCTTTTTAAGGTACAATTAATAGAATTTATGCGGCGTATCGAACTGGGGGAAGCTTTAAAACTTGCAGTTCTTCCCGGGAAACTTTTGGGGTCTGATCATTCACAGGGAAGGGAACCAAGTCCCAGTTTGTTGTTTTCACCTCACTGCAGAGAGGTCGGAATAACGGTGGTGCTGATTGGATACCGCTCCAATATATTGGCCCCGTTTCTGTGGCCACTCTGTGCTAAGTGGGAGATTGCTTTCTCTGTGTTTTTCTTTGAAACAGTGCCAGAATGTGAACTGGGAGTAAACGGGACGCTTCCATCTCTAGCAGGTCTTCCTGCGCTGGCGAGGCCCAGAGCTGCGCTTGTCTCCGGGCCCAGCTTCTCCCCAGCAGCCCTGCTGACACGCAGCGGCTGTCACAATAAAATATGACGGGCCGGTTTACCCCTCTGAACAGAGAGAGGCCCGCGTTCTCCAAATCTGCAAACGATCTGTGCAAGCGTGAGCTCTCGTTTTGGGACCTTCGTTTTGGCGCGCTCGCCAGATAGCTGCGGCACGGGCACGCAGAAAACTTTCAGACCAGAGGGTTAAGGGGGGGGGGGGTAATTGACAGACAGAGTAGGTAATTGTATCAAAATGAGCTGCTCATTTCCAGGACTTTTCACCCCAGACGACTTCAATTAATCCTTTTCAAAGTTACGTCATCCATAACAAATTAATTAACACCAAATCCACATTAAATCTGCAAAAAGAGCTCATATGTTTGCTCACCGTTGTCTGACTTTATTTTTGGTGATTATACATTTACAGGCTTTAATGTTAGAACGGATAATGGGGCATCATGAGATGCTTTTTCCACGTTTTGTCAGCCTCTGTCTCCTCTGAGAGGTCCACTCTGAATGTAGACGGAAAATACGTTGACCTCATTTGTCCATTGTCTATTCATGAGTTTTAGAAGCGTTTTTGTTTGAGGTTTGCCCTCAACAAAGTTCCTCGTAACTGTGCTGTTAGTCAAAATGGGCTAGAGCCCACCTGGTTGTATCAGTGATGGTAAACAGTGGAACGGAGGGTATGTGGAAGGATAAAGTACCTTCTCAGTACTGTCAAGCTGTCTGAATACGCTTACTGTTCGCAGTTTTATCTGAACCAGACAGCCAGCCTTCTGAATAGTGAGTGTCACCACTCAGGCCGGCCTCTCTGAGGGCCTTTGAACACCATGTTTTTGTG